GGGGGGGGATCCCCGCGCCCCCCCGCCCGCCGGGGCGGTGCCGCCCGTCGGGGCTCCCGGGGCCACCTGTTAGCGACGGGGAAGGGCCCTCGGGGCGGGAGAGCGCGGTCGGGGAGGCAGACGAGCAGGATTTACCAGCTTCTGGCCACTGCCGACTTTTGCATCTGTCAGGGTGCTAATTATTGCCTTTAATAGAGACAAAGAACAGCTCCTAATGATGCTCCCTCTAATTCTCACCTGCTCCTGCCCTTCTTCCGCAGCAGCACCCCCTCGCCGGAGCCCTGCTAATTGGGAAAGCTGCTCTGCTTATTGCAGCCTCCCTGCAGATGGGGGAGGACACGACGAGGACGGCAGGGCTGGGGCGGGAGGTGCGGGGCACCGGTAGCGGGGCTCCCGGAGCAAAACCGGAGCATCCTGAGCGGGACCGGCCTGACGGGAGCTCCCCAGCCCAGCCCCGGCGCGGCGGGGCTCAGCAGCCCCGGGAGGAGCGGCCTTTGCCTCCGCGCTCCGGGGGGGACTTGAGGTGGTCTCTGCCCCTTCTCCGGCCCAGCCCGGCCTTTGGCTTGCAGCGGGGGGGGGCGCCGGGAGCCGCTGGCAGACACCGGGCTGGCAGCCCTTTATTTTGTACGACTTTCTGCCTCCCCCCTCCGCCGGAGAAGGCAGAAGCGGAGGGTCTTGTACCGCAAGGATCGCCTTCAAAGCCGCAGACCGCCACAGAGGTAGCACCCTAAGGCGGCCTTAAAGCGAGAGGCAGCGCCAGCGCCCTCCTGGCTACCGGGGCCAGGGCCCGGGCCAGCTCTCCTGCTGGAGGAGGCGCTGGGGCAATGGGCGGGATGCCCGCCCCGCCTGTGGCCTATCCCCCTCCTCGGCCTTGGTCCCCGGGGCTTCATCCCGCCAGGCGTTACTTGGGGTTGTTTGCCAGAATCGGTACTGAGGGTGCTGGGAGGGGGAGCTTCTCTCCGGGGGCTGAGGGAGGTGGGGCTGGGTGTCTCTGGAGAAGGGGTGGGGGGGTAATTTCTCATCATCACTGGGGGGGATGTTGGGGGCACTCCTTTCCGAGCCCCGTTTCCCTTCCCTGAGAGGGACGGCAGGGGG